TTTTTTTTCCAGCTGCTTAAGTTACCTCATTTGGATTTGACCTCTTTTGAATTGTACTTTTTAACAAATTTCAATCTAGCTGATGAAGGTTCTACATTGATACCGTCTTTCGTCTTTCTCTTTCACTTCTTCATTCTATTGGGAAATTGAAGCAAGCCTTTTCTGTCTCAGAATGTTCTGTAATTCATTTTCAAATGCATCACAGGCGCGAAGGGAACTGAGGCGACTGAAGGAGGAGGCTAGGAATAAACTTGCTATTGCAGTTATTTGGGCTTACTGGCTTGGATTAAAGGTACTACATGCAAGTGTCATGTGCCCTTCCCTTCCTTACCCAAATTGCCTACCCATTAATTAGTAAAAAGGATTCATAATCATTTTTACTAAGCTATCACACTTGAGCACCTGATTGCTGGTAACCCCTACTCTAACCTTCTCCCAGCTTAACTTGAAAACCATCCCTACTAAAAAAAAATTCCAAGCATGCCAATTTATAGATAGCACTAATTGCTTGTTTATTAAGCCAGAAAATGATTAGACTAGTGGCTCTAAAATGTATTTTACTAAACTGAAATGTTTCCAATAATGTTTAGCGGAATGCCCATGCAATAATATTTGTATAGGTTCCTAAACTAAGGCGCTATGATGAAATGTAACTGCATTAATTAATTTCATAATGTCCCTATATTCTAATTGCATCTTAATATCTAAGAAATGGGGTTTTTTTCAATCCACACAAAATACTGTGGTATAATTTTTTATTACATGTATATTTTTATTGGAGAATATGATCAACAGCTATGTGGCATGTGAGCCAGGAAATCTACCAGTCCTAATTAAAGACCCAGTTCAGGACTTTGTAACTTAGTATATGAAGCTATGTGTCATATTAAGGGTTGGGATATTATGATTAAAATCATTCCCAGTGTAGATAACAATTTTCTGGTACTGATTGCCACAGTATTTAGCTTTTTCCAAATGTCATACACATCAGCTCGTATCTTAAGGATTATCCATTTATCAAGTTGCAGCCAAAATGTAGAATTAGTGACAAAATGCAGTCTGTTAATATTCCTGTAAACATCACATATTCCACACAGGAAGGTTCCTCACCCCCCACTCCATGTGATAACCACTGGAAGTCAAGCAATGTAACATGGAAAGTGTTCTTACCTTTGGACAGTTTGCAAGATTTGTGCTCATGTTTGGGGGAAGTACATAGGAAATGATGGCAGAGCTAAATTGTTGCTTTTAGCAAGAATACCATGGAAATATTACATGTTGGTATTGGAGAATGGAGAACTTTAGATGCTATCATTTCATTCAACATGTTAGACCTCACATAGTTGCTTAACAACCACAATTGAGAGAGCTCAAACTGTAATCATTAAGTGAGGCAATCACATAGGTGCCTTGCTTAATGAATGTTATGAATTACAACCCAAATTCCAGGCTCAGTTGTGGCCATAAGTTGAGGACAACTTATATAGGTGTGGTTTAGTATTAACCACAGGCTCTATGAAGCTTCAAAGGGATATTTTGCTTTGATGAAGCCTTCTCCTGCAGTACTCCAGTACTACCAAGGGCTACCAGGCTAGGCAGCTTCCACAAAAGCTGTGAGATTCCATATGATGTGCACTGAAGTGGCTAGCATGAATTGTCTATGGCATGTATTGAAAGCCTTGCTGAATGGATGGCCTCAATAAATGCTGTTCAGTTGCCTATGTTGTACATCAGAATGGCTAGCTTGGAGCCCTCTCAGCATCTGCTGAAAGTTTCTTTGAGTTAGATGTCTACACTGAGCATCACAGGCAATGCTGCAGTCCATGCCTAAGCCACCTAGCTTAATGCCTCCTCTGGGTCAATGGCCCTTGCACTCTTCAAAAGCTCTGGCCAGTACTGTAAAAAAGGTGAGCAGCACCTCCTTTGCAAGTTGACTTTTTAGTGATTGGTATGAAAGCAGAAATGTGTGCTATTCATTCAACCATGAAAAATTCGGCTACCACAGCGAGTAGCTTCCTTTTTAGTGAACAAATCACATTACTCCCAGAGCCCAAAGTACTGGCTGCATCAAAGTATATTCACCTTTCTTCACATAGAACTTATAGAAAGTGATGTTTGATGTAAAATGCTATTTCTATTAAACTAAAGAAGCAATATTAATGGAAGTTAAAGCTATCTGCGTTCTGATAATTTGCTGCAGATATTATTTAGTGTAATACTTCATTTTATTTGAGGCTTCAGTGGTGACATATAGCAAATATATATATAGCTTTCACATTTGAGTTAGAGAATTGCAGAGATTTATTACAAATCGTACAGATAGTTGAAGTATTGTTAAAATAATTAGCATTGATATTAAGAAATAAGAGAGCTTTTCTTTGGACGGAGCTGGTACATTTAATGATAATGGGAATTTCACACATATGGTTGTGCTGATTTGATGATTTGACTGAAATATTTGAGCATTTGTTATCTAAAGCAAATGAAGTTGGTAACAACCAATCCTTTATTATGAGAAAATGCAGATATTATATTATTTGGGGATTGTATCCCCTACATCATAACAATTAGCAATGCTTTTATCCTTTTTATAAAATATCTTGAATAGGAAGAACCCCTAACTTAAACCTATTAATGATCAACTGCACTCTTTTATTGTACCATCTGACTGTTTTAAAAGCTCATGAAAGAAAACAGTAAACTTTTAAAAGGTTACTCTGTAAGATAAATACAGAATGATGATAGAATTTGGAAATGCTGTATTTTTTTCTATTCAAAATACACTGGAATGACACGGTAGATTTAAACAATAGGTTATGCTTTACACTGAGATCTTTCAAACAGCAAAATTTGCAAGGCAAATCTCTTATAGACAAACCAACATTTCAAAGTTGTAGGTGCCTGGCTACGTCTGTTGTTGCTGGTAACGGCAGACATCTGTTCTCCACATTTTTACTGAAGTATAAATATGACAAATAAATAAATGTTTATAAATAAATAAAATAACAAGAGTAACAGAAAACCCTAAAGAGAAAACAGATACTTTTTTTTAAAGGTTTATTCCATTGCTGTTATACACCGAAAATATTATAGCTGAGATGTGGTATTCACTGAATATCTTTTGTGACTACACCACCACCTCCTTTGAGAAAAATGCATTGATATCGAATAAAATGAAATGAAAGAAGGTTAATGTGTGTGCTCTAAGATGGTTTCCTTCAGATACTTGCCATGGAATAAATAAGCTGGTTTCTAATATTTTAGTCTGAATTAATTTCCTGTTGGGAAAAGGTTTTCCACTATTCACCCTTTTGCAAATGCCCTATGAGAATGCTACTACAGGGAATGTCTGCCACTTATTCTTCAGGTATGCCTTGGGGAAGCAGCTTTCCACCCAATCTTCACACTGGCACGCTGGGTTCCATGGGTTGCCTATTGCTCTTTCATCTTCCGAAATCAGCTGTTCTGTCAGGGGGAGCATTCTCTTTCTCATCATGGTTCTTTCTGCATCAGGCTGTCTCTGTGATTCACTATCTAAACATTTTAGGCTCGAAGGGAGTTGAAACGCTTGAAGGAGGAGGCTAGGCGTAAGCATGCTGTGGCAGTCATATGGGCTTACTGGCTTGGACTAAAGGTACTCTCTTAAACAACTCCCTTACCTTAGTAATAATAATAAAGCGTGGCATCTATCTATCTACTAACACGTAATAAACTTCTGGGGCTATGGGCTGTAACAAGCATGATCTCTAAGGGAACTGTTTTTCTTCTGTGACCTTCAAAAACAGTCTTGTATGTTTTTAACCAGACATTTATAAGTTGTATGTATATGTCTCTACATTATTACCACAAATTCGGGGTGGAGTCTTGCTCTACAGAAGTTTGGATTGTATATCGAAATGACTTTCAGAGTTCTTAGTTGTGTTAAATCACATAAATCCTGAAAGATGTCTTCAAATGGATCTACTTCAAACTAATCTGTGGTGAACAGTAGTGATTTCTGCAGGAGGCTGTCTTTCCACCAGTAGCATTTAAAGGAGGGGAAGGGGGTGTATTTGAAGAAAACATAGAAGGTAAATACGTTAGTCCAAGTTAGAGGTTACTAGATTAAACCGCCCATTTCTATGCTTATTGGTTGGATTTTTCTGATTCTCCACATGTGCAACCTGACAAAAGATGACTAGGACCTACAAATGCATCAGTCTTTTTATGGAAGCTTTTTGAAACTCAGATGAGATATTGTTTGTTCCAAACCCAATTGAACCGAAATAACCTCCTGCTGCAGCCTAATTCAAACTTTCCTAGAAATCAGTTGTATATTTAAAAGCACTGCTGCTGCACTATCCATTCCGTTAAGTTTCTGATGCCATGAAAAGTGTGGACCCCTACTCAACACTTCTTGTCAGTGAAACATACATGTAGTACAAATCCTTTTATGTACTTGATAATAGGAGCACCATTGCTTTCCAAGACTTTTCCAGTGTTCTGTCATTGAATTTTTGGAAAGGTTAATAATGATTTAACTTAACTTCTATTGTGCCTCTTCAGGAATTGGCCATTATTTCACTTCAGGTTCCTCCCTTTCATTGTGTTGTTGTGTGGTGCTCTCAATTGCTGTTTCTTTTTTCTTTATGATAATTGAATTTATAAACTCTGCCCAGCCATAGTGGATTCAGTATAGATCCAAGCAATTTTCAAATATTCAGAAACTTTTCAAAATAATTTTTGAAAATTATACATAACATAACCCTTAACAATCACACAGCATATTCTCTTTTGGCATTTTATTTCCTTCTAATATGGGTTTGTTTGCAATTACATTAAACTGATATACCATATTGAAATGAATGGGGAATTTGAACTGACAAGTGTCAAGAATAATAATATTCTGTTGCTAGCAACTTCCCCATTACAAGGTATGGAAAATAACAAAATCCTTCTCCTTTCTAGCATCTCTGCTCTTTTTTAAAGAAAAAGAAAAGTCAAGATAATATAAGGGACTCTTTTTTGAACACTTAATACTTTCTTTTAAAAAAAACCATTAGTCCATAGTGTAAATGCGTTGTTTTCATACTGAAAAACCAAAGTTGTAGTTGTGGGAAATGTCAGACGTGCAGTTGCACTCCCAAATCAATAAGAGCATAGCTGCTGAATCTCTAAGTGGCTGTACTTGGGGGAGAAATTGTATCCCATAACACAAGACTCTCAAAATTAGAACCAGTCCTGATTTAAAGTGACACTAGAGTCCGGTTTTCTTAATTTTGAAAAAAGTTTCTAATTTACATATAGCTAATATATTTATACAGTACTATATCCTAAAAGTTGTGTTTTCCAGACAGATAAATTTAAAATCAAATTGTATATTGCCTAAATTCTTATGAAAGAATTCACAAATTGATTCAGAATCATGTTGTGGGAGAAACTGTTGTATGATATTATTTCTTTTTCGTTTTGTAGCTCTACTGCTAGAAAAAGTTGTCATTAAACAACTAGTCATAAATTGAAGACTACCTGTAATGTCTATGTGTTAGAATAGTCTCACCCTCACCCCTACCCCTGCAAAAAAGCTATCTGTTTATTCTGAGATTTTAACTTAACCAGGTTCGTAGAGAGTACAGGAAATTTTTCCGAGCCAACGCTGGAAGGAAAATTTATGAATTTATCCTTCAAAAAATTGTAAGTATTTTGCTTGTGTAACACTATTACAGTTGTATCAAGATTTTACTTTACAGTATGAGCAAAAAGCTGAAAGAAAGTTTGAAATGCCACTGTTTTTATAATACATAAAAAACCAGAGTGAAATACCAGAATTGTTTTTGCCACAGGAAAAAGGTACTCTTTTGTAAAACCAAAGAATTATCATGACTTTCATTTTTAACATCTCTACCTCTAAGGTTTTTTTTAATACGATTGTCCTGCTTTTATTTTTGCATCTGCTGCTTAAAGTGACATCCCTCGGTTTAGAAGGAAATCAAATCCCCTGGAGCTTTCTAATTGAAACCCAGCAAATAGTCTCCAATTCACTTAATTTTCTGTAAGGTCTGCAAATGAAAAGGAGAGATAGTATTGCCAAAAATGAGTACTTTTTCTCCCCGGTATAAATAATTATTTCTATTCTTTGAGCAGAATATTTATACCAGGAAACTGATATAACTGGAAATTTAGGATTGTTTTAGACTTCCCATCTGTATTAGCAAAAGACTTTTCTGCCATATCTTTGTTCCAGCTTCTGCAACCGCTTGAAGTTTTTTTTTTTTATTTTATCAAATTTTTAAACCGCCTATCTTTCTCACAGGACATAAAAAAACAGTATATAAAATTTAAGAGGCAGGCAATGTTAAAAATTAATCAAAAGGCAGAGGGAGGTCTTTCAGGGAGCTCATCAGCCCCATGACCACATGTGCCTATGTCAGCCCTAGCCAAGATTGCAGAGCCATGCTTTCATGCCTTTCTGGAAGGCCAGGAGAGTGGGGGCCCATCTCATCTCTGGGCGGGGGGGGGGGAGAATGTTCCATGCGCGAGGATTCCCTTCCCCAAACCCCACCAATCAGAATTCCTTGGCTAACAGGATCTGCAACATACCTTCCTTACCTGACCAGGGAGAATAGGTTGACTTATGGGATGAGAATGGTTCCATAGGTAATCTGATCCAGGCTATGTAGGGCTTTAAAGATACAACTCCATTAAGAGAGGTTTGGTGCCTTACAAATAAATAAATTTGCAATGATTACAATGAAGACTTTTTGAGAAAATAAAATGCTTTTTCTATTTTTTTTAACCTAGATTCAAAAATACTTTTTGGAAATGAAGAATAAGATGCCTTCTTTATCACCAATAGACAAAAACTGGCCAGCAAGGCCTTACCTGTTTTTGGATTTAACTCATAAGGAACTGAAGAGGATATTCCACTTGTGGAGGGTAATAATATAATTCTGGAATTAATTATTTATTTTGGTTGTACTTTTATTAATAACCTAAGCATAAAAGCTGAAAATCACTAATAAAATATGCAAGAAGTTACGTTTCTCATCTTGTTCATGTATTCTGTTTCTATTAAAATTCTTTACCAAATTGGACAAAATTCAATGGCTACAAAGAAAGTTCTTTCAATGGCACAATTCTATAATTAAATGCAGCCTTGGTGTTACTCAGTTTCTATGAAAGGGGCATTTATCTTAATATGTGAATATCCATCAATGTTGTAAGTCAAAGTCACTGTTAAATCCTGTTTACAAAAATCTGGAGCTACTTGCTATAATTCAAGCAAAGTCCAACCTGTGATATGGCATATGCAATGTGTTAAAAGTGGAATTCCCCAGACAAATCAGTTGAAACTAGAAATGAAGTGTCTGTCCCCCACACCTTTACTGAAGAAGGTACACATTATAAAGTTTAATTGCTACATGTAGTGGAACCAAAATGAAAAGTGTACCTGATCAAACATTAACCAATTCATTTGTCAAGTCTCATATTTTCCTGTTAAGATACATTTTATCAAAGCATATTTCATATGTATTGGTATATTAATGTATGTTACCAAGTCACAGCAGGTGGTGACACCTAGCCAATCTTGGCTGACCTCAAAAAGGTTAAGATCGAAACTGATAAATCTCAGAAGGCAATATGACATTTATATACTGTCAGCAAGAAAAGTGTGTGTATATATAGATTTCTAGTTGGAATTATAATGGACTGAAAACAGCTCCGTGAAAGCAGATCTGTCAATTGCATCAGAGACCAAGGAACTGGTGAGTAGACCGGTTCCTTGAAAAATCTATGGATAAGCAGAGTATGAGAGATCACCCACATATGCTCTGGATGGCTACTGCTTCTTGTGAGGACACCACAGAGCAACAGTTTTCTGCAGGTAGGAATGCTGAGTGGTTAGCCAACTTGTTAGCAACTGCAGCAGAACCTTTTAAAGGACAGTACGTTTGCAAATCTTACATTCTGATTACTTTGGGAAAATTCATTTTAAAATTATTTTTATCCTTGGCATGACAAGATTGAAAAGTCTTCATTTGGTTAAGTTTATCATCAACTCTGAACAAAAGAAAAGTTAATTACAAGGCTAAGAGCTTTAAAAATTTGAAATAACAGCAAAATGTTAAATATGATTTTGATTTAGAAAGTGATAAATAGACTAATGTTCAGATAAATTTGGAATATTGAAACTTTTACAATCAAATTTTGGAATTAATTTTACAGAGCAAATAGCTTCTGGTGGGAAATAGATCTGTTTGGTTTGGGGAAGACATAACAGAGATAAGTAATTTAAGGATTTAAAAACTAGACACTAGAGGGGACTAAAAATTAAAAATGTAATCCTATCTGTGCAATAGGGCAAAGATGAAATAAAGAATAATCAAACTCTATGAGAATATTTGAATGAAATATAGATTAAGACTATTAGAAGACAAAGGGATGAATATAAAGTTGGTTTATTTGATCAAGGTTCAAACAAAATATGTTTTTAGTTTTGACAATTCCTTATGGAATTTCTGCTTACACCAGGACTGAAAAGATGACGCTTTATGGATTTGGTTATTGATAAAGGATGGGATATGGGATGAAGATAAAATTGTTTTCAATCACAGAACCAGGGGTGGGAAGTGAAGAATTATTAAATTTGTTTATACAAATGGTAAAAGTTGGAAGTTACTTCTTTATGTATTTCTTTTCTCTTTTATGTTATATTCCTTTTTATTCTCTTTATTGTTTTCTTTCCCCTTGCAGCTTTTATGTTTTCTATTACCTTCTCTTTCTTGAAGATTAGTTTGGTTTAGACCAGGGGTGTCATACTTGTGTTATCATTGCGACATCACATGACGTATCTTAACTTTCTTCCCCTTCGCTAAACTAGGTAGGGGCATGGCCAGCATGTGACACATCCGGCCTGTGCACCACAAGTTTGACAGCCCTGGTTTAGACTTTACTGTTGCAATCAATATTCTTAATAAAATTATATATAAGAAAGAAGTGAGAGAGATTGTGTGAGCACACAAACATGTATGTATTTAAGGAGACAAATTCCATTCAAGTGTTCTGACCCAACTGGGTTCCCAAAGAACAAACACAGACAAAGGCAGCAGCCCCTACCTTTTAAGGTTTAATAACGAATTCTGTTCTGAAGGCTGCTTTCCACTAATTAGCTCCGACAAGAAAGAGCCTTGCCAAGTTGTTTGTCAAGGCTGTCAAAAACCCAGAGATAAGAAATAATTTACAAAATTTTCCAAACATGAACTAAGATGTCCACCAGTTGAGTTTCAGAGCTTCTTTGCTGTCTGCAAAGAACGCTTTTCCAAACCTGGCTTTTATCCTCTTCAGGGAGGGGCCATTACCTTGCAGCCTTACTCCCAAGTCGCCTGTGCTTCTGTAATTGTTCTTTCCTCCAAGTAGTTCTTCGTGCACGTGCACTTGGCACAGGCTCCTCGGGAACATCCTCGTCACTGCTGCCAACCCACACAATCTCTGAAGGCAGCAGTCCACTCCCTGATGGTCCTGGCCCCTCATCAGAGTCATCGCTCTCCTCAAGCATCTGCACCTGCTGCCGGCTTATCACAACATCAAGAAAGTTATTAAAGTCATTAGTTTTAAAACAGCAAATTCATAAAAATAATGTTTTAGTGAATTTTGTGATAAACGTATAGGTAGCCTTCATTTAGCAACCACCGTTGGGGCAGGCAACTCAGTTGTTAAGAGAAACAATGACTGGGCCTATGATCTTACCTCAACTTTTCCTTACTTTAAAGACCTGTGAAAGTTGTAAATGCAAGGATTGGTTGTAAAATGACTTTTTCATCACTGTCATAATTGTGAGTGCCTGCTAAACGGGGCAGTCGCTAAACAAGGATTACAGAAGAGAAACAGTAAATGTAAATTGAGAACGGATGTTTATGTTGAATGCTATGTTTATAGGTAGCATCTGAGGTACATATATCTTAAGCATAGGAAAAAAGCAAGCCAATTTCCATGTTGTGATTCATTTGCAATTTATTTGCAGTGTAAAAAGTACAGGGACCAGTTTACAGATCAGAAGAAGCTCATTTATGAAGAAAAACTGGAAGCTAGTGAACTTTTCAAGGACAGAAAAGCTTTATATCCAGCCAGGTAATGAACCAGTCTGATAACTTTGCTGAGGTTGCAACAAAGTACACCCACATTGGGAAGAAATTCGCCAGAAATTCCTATCCATCTTCTTTTTTTTTTTTTTTTTTTTGGCAAAGACTGCCACTTTCAAGCAATTACCAGTTTAAAGATCATCCTCATCCTTCCTTGAGAATATACAGTAAATTAATTAATTAGTACTCTAATAACCTAATTCTTCCATGTTTTGATAGTTGGAACATTGCTATTTAACGTGGTTAGGCGCCCACAAAAGCCTGCGAACTAAATTAATAAGTGTGGGTGCTTTGTAGGTTAAAAATGCTATAAAAATTAATCTAATGTTCTTGCTTGGTTAAATTCATGTCGGTGGGTAAGATAGCAAGTTTCAGTTTGGAGAGTAAAGATGCTGATAGACTGCCTTATCATTTTAACATTTTAAAAATGTTAAGCTGCCCACTCAGGTAGGAGCAGAATCCCACCACCAAACAGTGCCTCCGATCCCCTGATCTTTCATGAGGTCCATAAAAATACCGTGGTTGATGATATTGGATTCACTGAAAGGTCTACCACAAAGACCTAAGATGGGTACAGACTTCCCATTTATGTTCTAAGGACCTTCTCCAGGATGACCAATGTTGTTTTCATCCATATCTAGGCCTGAAAGGGAAGAGAAAAACAATTTCTTTGTAGTATCCATCTTCTCAACAATATTCCCCAGAAAGGGAAAATTGGAGACTGGTTAGAAATTTTTCAGTGCAGTGAGATTGAAGGATACCCTCTTCGAGAGATGTTGCAGAACCACTTTTTTCAAGGCAGGTAGCCTCTCGCTCTCCTTTAGAGGGGCATTAATCATCTCTTAGTAATACATATCCCACCTGGCTGCCCAAAGGTAGCACGTAGAGTATGAGTCTGATCTACAGGTAGCAGAGCATGTATCCATGTCATCAACTCCTATAAGAACCTCAGGTTAACATTGCAAGGCAGCGATCTGCCTCACCCCCAACCCTGCCCATTTGGATTCCAGTTATACACAAATACGATCAGCTGTATCCACAAAGAAACATGCCACAATGGGTGAGCCGTCTTCTTTATTCATTGCATTTCAATCAGGGAATAAAGATGTTAAAGTCTATCTCTTTTTATTGGATCTGTAGCCTGACAAATCTTCCTAGGACTATTGTCTGTAGCTTCCACCCACCTTCCACCAGTTGCCTTTCAGGAACTCTAGATGAGCCATTTCAACTATTGGACCATCACAGTTCCAACCTCAGCCCTGAGCAATGCAGATACCATCCACTGTCCAATCTTTATCCATTACTTTCACTAGTTTTCATAAGGATGCAACAAACAGTGCAGCATTATGGTGAAGAAAACCAAATATTAAACCTCTTTTTATATATATATGAAATGCAAGACTTGTCCATATATTGCCTGCCCTCCCCATTCCTACCAGGTCTTTCCCAGTCTTAAACTTGTTTTTGTACAGTGCCTGGCAGTTTTTATCTTATCAGTTTCTTAAAACAGGCAAAAACGTGTCTCCAGTTTTTTGGATCAATCCAAGATAACATTCTTTGATTCAGACAGTGGATTTTGTTTAAGGAATTGGTGCATTGTTGACATTCTTTTACCTCATTTGGAAACAAAATTATCTAATTGATAAAGATAACGAGAAAGAGTTTTGCAATTTATAAGAAATGATTGTTATGTGAAATATGATATTTTGCAAGTTAAGGTTAATTTAGTGCTTGAGATGGTAAATGAACCAGTGTCTGTTAGTATTCTAGGATAGGTACTTTCTATAGGTTCTTCCAGAGTTTTGGAGTATAACTCCCATTATTGCTTGACGTTAGCCATACTGGCTGAGGCTGATGGAAATTAAGCCAAAGTACCTGGACCTCAAGAGCTTATATTTTCAGTCAAGGTTGAGGAAAGGTTGCCATAGAAGAAGGACTACATGCTAAGAAAATGAGTACCATTACTTATTTACCTTTACTAAAAAAAATACCATTTAATTTCTTTATCTAACAACATAGCATTGCAGTTTATTGCAGTTCAGGTTCAAAATTTAAAACCAGAGTCTGTTGAGCTTGGAATTTATTCCAATAGAATATATGTATCTCAGGATTGAGCTGTGGAGTCCTTGGTTGGTCCTAAGCTTGGTTGTTTGTTTGCAGATGTTTCATTATCCAACTATGCAACATCGGTGCTGGTGAGTGTGGAGTTTTCTCTCTGTTTATATACAGTAGCTTGTCCTGCCAGTGTTGATGGAAATATGGTTTTCTCCTTGGTAGTTCCTTTATTGTTTCTCTGAGGTACAGTAGTTCCCAGGAGAGGGGAACCACACCCCCATCAACAATGATAGGTCAAGCTACTGCATATAAACAGGGAGCACATTTCCAGCATTGATAATGTTATCTAGTTGGGTAATGAAGTATCAACAAGCAGACAACCAAGCTCAGGAAGCACCAAGGACTCCATACTTGGAATTGATTGAATTTACCCCGCTTCTCTAGTTAACTGTAGCCATATTTCTTTGTGACCTGCCATCTAACCCTGTTTAGGTTTTTGAAAACAGTCAAAAATAACTTACCAACCATCCAGCCATGCAATTGTGATCTGCAGGCCAAAGATTTGTTAAGATCTACAGTATTGCATGTGTATTTGAGTTTTGATTATATTTATGTTTCTTTTACTTAAAGCGTTGGACAGCCTTTCCAGGGGGCTTATCTTGAAATCAGTAAGAACCCCAAGTACAAGAAACTGAAAGATGCCGCTGAAGAAAAAATTATTATTGCTGAAGTAGTAAACAAAGTCAATAGAGCAAATGGAAAGGTAAAATCATTTCTCCATAGGGAAAGATTGGTACATGTAAAATACTTTATCCAAACTTAGACATCCAATAGAGGTTTGTTCTTCATAGTTACCTTGTATTCTTTGAGTTTTGATTGCCAGAATGAAGGAATAGCAATAATTATTTCATTTAATAGTTTATATTTTTAATGTTATATGCAATTCTCTTTCTTCTTAGTATGGTGATTTCATGAGTGCTATAGTTAACATGTAAACAGCAATCACACCTAATAATTCATCTTGTTCCTGGATAGCTATTTCCTTAAAATAATCTATAACCCAGCTAATTTATTCCTATTTGACAGGAAACATAAGAGTCCAGCTTTATTTGCTGAACTATATCATCTTCCTCTTTAGTTATCTTTAAAATATTTGCACAGAGGCATTATTACATTGGTAGTTAATATTTTTGAATTTGCATGAAAGTAATCACTCTCATTCTTTTTCAGTGCACAGCTAGGATTTTCTTGCTTACAAAAAATAATGTCCTACTTGCTGATCAGAAATCAGGCCAAATCAAGACAGAGGTTCCTTTGGGGGATGTCACTAAAGTGTCCATGAGCTCTCAAAGTGATGGTTTCTTTGCTGTGCATCTCAAAGAGGTAGGAATAAAATAACATCAGTGACAATAGTAATAAAGAACTGGCAATTTTAATCTTACAGAGTAAGAGGACAGGGTACCTTTTATGCATCCAAGAGACTTGATCCATAGATTTTTTTTAATACCTTGATTAATTGCCTTTTCTAGGGATCTGAAGCAGCTGGAAAGGGTGATTTCCTGTTCAGCAGTGATCATCTGATTGAAATGGCCACAAAGCTCTACCGCACAATGCTTAGCCAAACCAAGCAGAAGCTCAGCATTGACATATCTGATGAGTATGTTTGGATTCGTCTCATTTAAATAGCTTCTATTTTAAAAAAAGCCAATCATGTAACAAGAGCATTCCATCTGAAAATAAATTAACATCTTTAATGTGAAAACATAGTGCTGTTAAAAAGTCAGGGAAACACAGCTAAAGAAGTAGGAGTATTATAGATATCATATAAGGAAAGCCTCTTCTATACATCCATTTCTCCTGTTTAGTCTCCTTAGCATTGAAAACCATGATGGGCAATCTTGTGCTTTCCAAATACTTTGGATTTTGTCATCATCAGCATCTCCCAGTCAGCATGGGAGTTTAGAGGGGAGTTAAAGGTTGTCTATCTCTGTAGAAAATTCAATAGCCAATTGTGTTACCCTTTACTGAAAGCTATTGTTTTAACAAAGGAACTTTTTTATCCTTTTATTCCCTTTTCTGGCAATACTAAGTATGCAATAGTGGCAAATATCTGTAGCTCGGGTGTAGGACTGAGGGTGAAGTTTCGTTCCCCAAACTTGTGGGTTGGTTTTGTTACCAGGCGAACATCTTTAGGGGAATCCCCTAAACTCCGCTGAAGAAGTTACCTAGCCAGGTAATGAAATGTTCAGAAACCAACCTACAAGCTTGGAGAATAAACCTCCACCTTCAGTACTAAGTATATTGTGGCCTACTCTACATGGTGCTCTTGTGGTTTAGTTGTGTAATTTGCATTAACAGTTTGTACTATAAGAATATGCATGCTGTTTGTGCATTTATGTTTCCTAACACAGCCTTTAGAAATCCTTAACTCCAATTTCATCTTACCAACATTCAAAAGAGGTCCTTTTGTATTAGTGCAAGCAAAGCCCCTCTCCTTGAAGTGTTAAGTTGTTGCATCCATTCGTGATGCTTTGAAAGCTGTCCTTGGCTATCTGTGCCTGCTGTGTGAGTTTCCCAAAGCAGAAAGCTGCTTAAATGTTTTATTAAGAAATGCTTTAGTCACACCAGCATGCTTTGCCCAGTACTTCATTACCTGTATAAAAAAAAATACAGGTAGTCCCCGACTTACAACAGTTCATTTAGTGACCTTTCAAAGTTATAGTGGCACTGAAAAATATGACTTAGGACCGTTTTTCACCAGTTTTCACTGAAAAATGTGACTTACGACCTTTGCAGCATCCCCATGGTCATGTGATCAAATGCCTGGCAACTGGTTCATGCTTACGACCGTTGCTCTGTCCCAGGGTCATGGGATTCGCTTTTGCAACCTTCTGACAAGAAAAGTCAATGGGGAAGCCAAATTCACTTCAACTGGGTTACTAATTAACCAATTGGGGTGTTCACTTAACTGTGGCAAAAAAGGTCATAAATAGGGCAAAACACACTTAACAAATGTTTCATTTAACAACATAAATTTGGGGCTCAATTGTGGTCGTAACTCAAGGATTACTTGTAGTTGATTCTATTGTATGAATAATTTGTCTTCAATAAGGGAAGATAAAGTCAAACCCTCCAAGTAATCATGACAAAATCTAATGCATTGTGTCACTTTTCCCTTAATTTATTGTTATAATTACTTTCTTGGGGAAATTGCTGTAGTATACTGAGATCTACAAATGTAGCTTGCTTTGGCATGAGCTGAAATACTCAATGGGTATTCAGAGGGGCAGCTAGTTTTTAATGTCATAATAAGGGAGAAATTAATTGATTAAACTTCCCAATGACTTATGTATTCAAAGACCTGAAATATTATACTTCAAATAATGGACAAAAAATGAAATACAGCAGAATTTTACCCATGCTTCACTTTTTAGCATGATACAGATAAAAAACAACAAAACAGAAATAATTAACATGTTCCCTGACCTAGAATTTAGTTTTCAGCTGCGGTGCAGTGGAAAAGGCTATACATAAATACAATGCACTCACAAAGAAAAAAAAACATAGATAACTGTAGGAGTCAATCTTTTAAGTTAAATGATAGCTCCACTTTTATGTATTCCCTTCAGATCATGCATTTAAGTCTAATCTTATGAACCATCAGGCTACATCTTTGCAGAGGGAAGTAAAAGAAACTGAGGAACAGCAATTTACATTTGTCTCTGATATGTAAACATTATCTCGTATTATTTTCTATAGAGGAGAATATGTAAGCCAGTAGATTTTGGGGAGATAATGCATTTGGAAGAGATAATATTTAAAATCTCAAAGTAGTAGTTTAAAATTGCATTTCAAAGTTAGGAAAAATACTGTTCTGCTGCATGTAGAAAAAAACCAGATTTGTTGATGTTTTTGACCAATGGTAGAATTTCCTATACACCAGGCTTTTGATCCAATCACAAAAGTGAAAACAGAATATGGCATCTGTCTTTTTTCTTGCTTTAGTTTTAACTTAAATCCTGTGAAACAACTCAATAGGTTCATCACCCCAAGTGCATATCCATTCTTTCTTCTTACCATAGATAGGTGGGACATGAGAAAAAATACTATAATATCAGTCATGTGTGGCGCCACAACATAATTTACCTTTATCGCAACACTACAAAATGTTGCCTTTTTAGCCCTTGCAGTAAGAAGCCAAAAATAAATGGCTAGGACTTTCCCCCAAAGCAGCAAAATGATTGGCAGAACAAAGTATTTTCCCACATAAGCATAATTAACCAGTGAAATTCCTAATTGCAAGATGTGGAGATTAGACAAGTCCAAGGAGCATAATTGTATGATTAACTTACGAATACAGATGTTTCTGTATCATTGCCAGAGCTAAAGCAGCATGTTCTGGATATCATTTGCTCAGATGCTAGCCTTCCCAAGAGACATTTAGTTAGTCATTGTGGGAAATCAGAAGCTAGATTATGTGTGGCCAGCCATCTTATGGCGGGTCACTTGAGGTGAAGGGAAACCAATGATCTAATGGTGATGGGAGGCAGCACTCCAGAGCAGGATACACTGGGCGCTGGTGAGGGGTGGGTGGGAGTAATGAGGCTTTCTCCTGGCAACCCTGTTCAAAATCTCTGCTCCTCTTCTGCTAGTGGGAATATGGGCAATGCAACAGTCTTGAACAGAGTCGGTGGGGTGGAGGACTTCTCTGACGTGACAGAGCTAAAGTGGAAACATGTGCACTCTGAGTGTGCTATGATTTTTGCTACAGCCCTATCTTGTTTTGTTAAAAACAAACATTCTGAATGGAATGAGGATGGAGGGAGCTTATGTAGGAAATTTTTGTAAAAACAAATATTCATTAGAAGGAACCTCTGGTTACATGAGGATATGAATTTCTTTTTAAGGAAAGTTTACAGTTAGTGAAAAACTATTTTTTAAAGACATCAGCTTAGAAGAGACATAAGATATATACTCTTACATAGTATCACAGGAGAAAATGTCTCTTCTTATTTCTTTTTTGTTCTTAAGGATTTATGTTTTTCAGGTTAGGCATAGAATTTGTGGATTACATAATCCACAGCTTCTTAGATAGGTGTATTAGAACATTTACATGTTCCCTGACTCCCTTTCTCTACTACTTTTGGAAATGTTGGCTTTCATTCTTTTAATCCTGATCTTCTGTCTATCTCACTTTGCCCAATGGCATTGGTTCTAGTGCAGGCAAATTTGGGGTTATGGAAAATAATTGGAAACAAAGTGTGCAAAAAGAAAACTACAGGTAATTCTCTACCAGATACTGTCCCAAGTTATGATCACACTGAATTAATAGTGGTTACAGCTGGTCCTCCGAGTTCCAGCCATCCCAACACCCCTGTGGTCACGGTTGCTTGGCAACCCATTCATTCTTACACCAGATTGTAATCACATAATCGCCATTTGCAACCCTGTCTGCTGGCTTCATTAGAAAGTCAATGAGGAACCAGCAGGGAAGATCGCAAATCACTGGGCTAAGTCTCCCCCTGCCCATTCCTCTACTTCCAACCTCTTTGTGCTCTCACCAGCCACTTGTGCACAGTCCCTGACCCACATGGTGCCTCTCATATATCTTCCCTAACCCTCTCTGACTCATGCTGTGTCTTTCATGTACACTCTCCCTTCTACACCTGTAGTCATACCTCTTGCACCTCTTTGCTCCCTTCCCAGCAACAATCACTTACCTGCCTGAAAGCCAGGGACTTGCAACTTCCTACTGACCTCCCAGAAGACTTAGTTGTAAGAAGTCAACAGGAACTTGCCTTGTCTAATGTTCATGGAATTCAATTAATGGCAGCCTGCAGGAATTTCTGTTACTTATCAATTCGGGTTTGCTTTATGACTGAATCACTTAGCGGTGAAAATCCCAGTCCCAATTTTTGTTGTAAAGTCAAAAGCTACCTGTCTTGTGGCACAAGGTGCTATTAGTTCCTATTTTATTACTAATATAAGAGAATTTGTGAGCCAACAACACCTTTTTTCTTTGCTGTTACACCTAAATGTGGTGGGTACCTTCCTTAACTACTCCCTGTGTTTTTGCTTTCTCCAGGTTCCTGGTTCAGTTCAGGCAGGACAAAGTGTGTGTAAAATTTGTACGAAGCATCCAGAAAAATGGCAGCATCCCCACTTGCAAGCGAAAAAATAACAGACTTCTTGAAGTTGCAGTACCATAATGATCCACATCCATACCTTACATGGACTCAGTTCCTACAATGGTGCAATTTTATCCATGGGAGGGAATTTTGTGGAATGGCGAAGAGCATTCTATTCTGGCAGTGGCAAAGAGCTTTTTGGAAAGCTGTTGCTAAAAGGTGCAACTAATCTTTTCAAGGCACACGTTTTTAATTTTCATATGATAACTTTTGGTTGATATATACACTTTTTGGTTTCCGACAGTATAATATGAACAGGCAATTTTTTTTCTAATTCCTTTGTTGTTTTTTAAATTTCTTAATGCTGCATGTTACAAACCCTCAGGCTTTTATGGCCATTCTTGATCTTAAATTAGAACCCTGCCCTACCAGCTGTTTAGGTTGTCAGAATAGCTGGATGGTGATCCCTCGTTTTTCTTCTTCTTGGGATTTCTTCCATGGTAAAATTCAGTCCAAAGCATTAATCAAAAAGAAACATAGGAGCAACTGGCAGATTCTGAGACTGAAAGCTATATTGTTAATTGCAAACAGCATTAAGCCATATGTAAAATGATCTTTAAAGGAACATAGGCCAGGAAACTCTAATTCTGCAAAGCAGAACATGTGTGTGATCATATATGCAATACATCTTTTTTTTTGCAGTGGAAAAAAGTCAGTGGTACTGCATTTTCTAATTGAGAACTTTTAATGACTTTACAAGAGGAAGGAGTAACAATAACCATGTAGCTCAAGACAGGGTTTTTGCTTTGTGTGCTTCCTCCTATTCCCACTTTTAATATAACTTTTAACTATAATTCCAAAACATGCCATTGTCTGCATGGGAAAACAGAGGGTAAGTAATTTAAACTTGTTGAATGAAGGGTGCGAATACATGTTGTACCATGTGCAATAAAACATTCATACAACTTGTGAAAATTATTTATAATAATATCTGTAGGTAATAAAAATGGTTGGGACATGCTGAGTATGCCTTGTTATAAAGGGCTGACATTAGCTTCACAGTACGCTAAGTTTGTTCCCTGGATCTACACTACAGTTATCACTTTGAAGAAAATAATCCTTGGGGGGGACAAATATACATTTAATGTTAAATGATAAACAATTGTAATGTGCTATTTGGTACTCTTGTCATATTTTTATATCTCAACTGGTTTTATATAAGTTGGTGTGCCTGATGCGTAAAGTGTGCACAGAAGCACTTTACAATAAAGAACTGCATTCTAAACTTTCCAAGGACCGGTTGCATCTTAAAAGAATTGTATGAGCCAGGAGAATTAGCCAAAAGCATTGGTTTTTGGAATGTTGTTTTCAAGTGTTTCAGTAGACATTAGCTAAAGGAGATGGCTGAATGTGTTTTGTATTGTTCATGTAAGAATGATTTTAGATCTGTTGTATTCTCAGTCTGGTTAAGAATTTGCCTTCAAGGAGAGATTACTACCAAGAAGTGTGATGCTAAACAGCCCAAGTTTAAATAAAAAGAAGCTTTGAAGCAAATATTATTTGTGGCTTTCACTTAAGATATTTATCAAATATCAGATATATAGCTATCAGTACAGGGGTAAGTTCCTCCTTATGTGAAAATGACTTTTACTGATGGAATGAGATTGGACAAGACTGTGAGAGGGATCTTAGTTTAGGGGACTGTAGGCTAAAACATATAAAGAATGGTTGCTGGCCTTATGTCTAGGCCAGGGGTGTCAAATTCATGACATCACGTGACATATTGGGACTTTTTCCCCCTTTGCTAAACCGGGAGTGGGCGTGGCCAGCATGTGATGCATCCGCCCCGTGGGCTGGGAGTTTGACAGCCCTGGTCTAGGTTAATGAAAAGGGGACTAGGAGAGACATGATAGCAGTGTTCCAATATCTCAGGAGTTGCCGGAAAGAAGAGGGAGTCAATCTAGTCTCAACATCACCTGAAGGCAGGACAAGAAACAATGGATGGAAACTAATCAAGGAGAGAACCAACCTAGAACTAAGAAGAAATTTCTTGACAAGAACCATCAGTGGAACGACATGCTTCCAAAAGTTGTGAATCCTCTAAACCTGGAAGTTTTTAAGAAGAAATTGGACAACCATATGCCTGAAATGGTATAGATTTCCTGCCTGAGCAGGGGGTTGGACTAGAAGACCTCCAACGTCTCTTCTAACTCTTATTCTGTTACTCTGTTTAGGTGTTACTAAATGCCACCTGGCCTCTATAGAGTGAACTATGGCCAAATGATAGGTGTTACAGCTCACCATCTGAAAAATAAAAACCTATATTCTGAATTAGAGTTAGAACTGAACTTATACATTTACAGATGCAATGTACACAAATTTACTCAAAAGCACATGGAAATGATTTTTGAAGCAAAAATGATTTGTTTCATTGCTATTGTGATAATTATCCAGACTTTCTCTGGGATCTGTTTGCTCACCAATACGGTACTATTCCAATTTTATCTCTCTGAAGAGAGAGGGAAAGGGAGAGAGAGAGAGAAAGAGATTTGTATAATATAAAGGAAGCATTTATCTTTCCAATGCTGCAATATCAGTCATTTAGCTGTATTAAGAGCACATCCCCTGGTTGTCAAATTCCATGCACCAGGTAGATAGTTCAAAAAATATCATCTGAAAATTTTAGCTTTTGTTGCACAATCATACAATTATGCGATAAAGGGCAGTTTGTAAGTTTCAGCTTGGGGCGAGGGGAGGATAGTGCCTGCATCTCTTGAAATATGTTGCCTGTTCCCCATGTGTCCCATCTACTTATTGGTGGCTTTGAAAAAGATAAAAGAAGACATTTATAGGCCAGCAGAGAGAGATATAGAGAGGTAAGATAATCCACCCCCCTCCCTAGATCAATGCTTGCTGTGGTGAGAAAGTAAAATAAATGTTCTTCGCGAGGGGAGCTGTAAAAGCTTTTTTCCTTTAACTACAGCATTGGCAGTTAATCAGATGAAAAGCCAAAGGGGGGGGAAAGAACAATTAGCTTAATGTGCCTGAAGCTGTAGCAGTTGACACAGTATGTAACGCCTAATGGGATAGCAAGTACAGTTGCGGCAAGCAGCACATTGGCTGGGGTGTGCTGGCAGCTGGTGCAGAGAAGGTGTAGTATACCAAGACCCATGATGCCAGGTAGCAGTACCAGCTCCTAGCTAGGTTGGATGGATTCCCAGGAGCAGCGCAGGGTGAGATGGTGGTCAGAAGTCCCAGACTTGCCATAGGTCCTCCAGATCTTGTTAATCCTAGTAAGGCTTATAGAAGAGCTACAGTGTCCTCCTCCTCAGGACAAGAGGAGAAGGCAGCAAAGGCCTGGGCTCCAGGGATGGGATTCAAATTTTTTAACAACTGGTTCTGTGGGTGTGGCTTAGTTGGTGGGCGTGGCTTGGTGGTCATGTGACTGGCTGAGTGTGGCCAACTCAAATCACCCACATTGGGGTACGCATCTCCTCGCCTGGCCTCTCATGACTTTGGGGATGCTGCAACAGTCATAAGTGTGAAAAATGGTCATGTCACTTTTTTCAGTGCCATTGTAACTTTGAATGGTCACTCCACACAAGCAAAGTACCAGCAAAGGAGGAGGAAAAAACTCCAGAGAAGTGCCTGAGACAGAAAGTCTAGTTCTGCCAAGAAGGTAATAAGGGTTAATGGAGAGGCAGTTTCTGTAAGCAACACCAGAATGTTTCCTTCCTGCCTTCCTTACAGGATTAGGCCAGTAATTTCTTCTAACAACCGGTTCTCCGAACTGCTTAGAATGTTAACAACTGGTTCTAGTGAATAGATGCAAACCGGTAGAATCCCACCCCTGCTGGGCTCCATAGAAGGAAGGTTGGGAAAGGAAACCATCTTGTAAGCATATTGTTAATGAATTGCCAGATTCATGGGATTTATCACCCTATGGCAGGGGTGTCAAACTCATGTCATCATGGTGGCATGTGATGAATCGGGACTTTCTCCCCCTTTACTAAACCAGGCAGGGACAGGGACAGCACGTGATGCATCCAGCCCATGGGCCGTGAACTTTGACACACCTGCCCTATGGCTGCACTTTTTCCTAAGTCAGCCTTGTAACGGCCAGGACAAAAAATAATACGAAGTGAATTAATTACTACAACTTAAACTGCTAAATTTATCTTGCCTGGTTGGACTATGCAAAGGCCATCTTTTCAAGGCTTGAAAGACAAAATATGAGCAGGATACAGGATTTTTTTAGAAAAAAAACACATTGCATTATGCAAGGCACACTGACACATCCATATCCTAGTTTTTCAATGAAATTTCCAATCGCGTTTTCAAACTACACGAACATATCAGTGTTACTGTGAGAATGTACAAGTAGCAATAATTTCTGAACTGGTGTGTGCATGTATGTAGGAAGGGTTTAAAAGATTTAAATCGTATTCACAAATCAAACCTGCTCACAATACATGCAAAGGCTCTTTGGCTTATGGGATGAAGTAGGATAATAGAACGGTCTTGCGCCTCATTCCTTCTTACTCAGCAGCACCATTTGCCATAAAGAAACTACTGAAGTAGGGAAAGCAAGCATACTTCCTTCAGGTTCCACCCACTTGACCAACTCCTAAACAATCTGGCTGTCCTTAGTGGAATTCCTGTGAGTGCCAAAGGGCCTGGCCCATATAACTAGTAGGTTTACTCGAGCGACATTCCACTGGGTCTCTCTACAGCAGTGATCCCCAACCTTTTTTA